TACTACCACACCCGGCTGGTTTTTTGATTTATTGTAGAGATGAGGTCTCACTGCCCAGGCGGGTCTCGAACCCGCGGGCTCAGGCAATCCACTCACCTCAGCCTCCCAAAGGCGCGGGATTACAGGCTGAGCCACCGAGCCCGGCTCTTTTTTTTTTTTTTGGAGTCAGAGTCTCACTCCGTCACCCAGGCTGGAGTGCAGTGGCACGCTCACAGCCACCCCAGCATCGACCTCCTGGGCTCAGGTGATTCTTCTGCCTCAGCCTTCCAAGTAGCCAGAACTATCGGCATATGCTACCATACCCGGCTAATTTTTAGATACATCGTAGAGACGAGGTCTCACCAAGTTGCCAAGGCTGATCACGAACCCTTGGGCTCAGACACGCTTATCATCTCAGCCTCCCAAAGTGCTGGGATCACAGGCTTGAGCCACGGCGTCCGCCCACAACTGCTTCAAATCATCATGTCTCCTTAGGCCCCTCCTTGACTGTGACAGTGTCTTAGACTTGATGCTGACCGTCATCATTTTGAGAAATACTGATCAGATATTATGTTGAATGCCCCACAAATGGGATTTATCTGATGATTTTCTCATGATGAGATTGAGGTTAAGAGATTTTGGGAGGAAGACCGCAAAGATGTTATTGTCATCACACCATACCAAGGATATACAAGAATCATCACATCAACCAAGGGTACACTATCCACATAACTTACCACTGCTGATGCTGTTCTTGATTATCTTGCTAAGGTAGTATGGTCAGATTTCTCCACTGTAAAGTTACTTTTCCCCCTTCCATACTGTATTCTTTGGAAGGGAGTCACTATGTGTAGTCTACACTTAAGGAGTGAGGAGTTATGCTTCACCTCCTTGAGGATGGAGTATGTATAATTAATTTGAAATTCTTCTGCGTTGTGAATTTATCTGTTCTTCCCCACTTGTTTATTTATTTATGTCAGCTTGGACTAATGACCATTTATTTTATACTCTGGGTTATCATCCAAAATATACTTCATAGCTCAGCTTTGGCCATCTGGAGTCTTTCAGATGGTCCCCTGTGTCTTGGGTGTACTCCACCCTAGTGGGTTGCTGTCCCTGTTGTTTGAGTGCTTCCTTACTTTCGGACGCCACAAGATACTCCAGATTCATCTCGTATATTTCCTGCCCCAGTCCTAGCCATTTCTCCAAGAAGTCCTGTTTCCTCTTATTGAAGAATGGCATTAGAAACCCAGATCTGGGCACTAGGTGTGCTCTCTTTTAGACCCTTTCAGCAAAGATATACATGTGTGTACCCTTGGAAACATACATATCTATCAATATTTCTATATGCAACCATCTGCATCTATATGAAGCTAAACACGAGTTCACTGTGATGTCTCCAACTCTATTCCGTTATTGCATGGATCATTCTAGTCTCTTCCCCTTTCTTATCTGTAACATCCCATGCCAACAGTGAGAAACCTAGCTCCTATCATCAGTCATCTAATTATGTAATTGCTGAATTCCAGAATACATGTATAGTGGTACCAGAATTATTAACTGGTACCTTTATGTGAAACAACTTTATCAACTAAACTACAGCATGTATGTACAGTTCCATTTCCCTTACACATTCCACTCATTCCAAAGTTATTTAAGGTGCCACATTTTTCTCCCACCTCGTCAGTGAGGTTGTTTCATACATTTATAATATAGATATTTTTCATTTCATTCTGGCATCATCTGACTTTCCAAATAATTATTTTAAATTACATTTAAAACTTACAATATAATTTAAGTTTTATTCTGCCGGCATAGGGTGATGGTGGGAAGGGGAGAAGCCACTGAAGAAACTTGAAAGGAAAGGCACCAACACAGAGATATCTTAAGTTTCTATCTAATCTCTTGTTTAAAATACAAATTGGACGGCCGGGGTGGCTGTAATCCCAGCACTTTGGGAGGCTGAGGCGAGAGGACTGCCTGAGCCCACGGCTTCGAGACAAGTCTGGGCATCATGGTGAGACCTCATCTCTACAATAAATAAAAAAATTAGCTGGGCATGGTGGCGCACACCTGTAGTTTTAGCTACCTGGAAGGCTGAGGCAGAAAGATCGCCTGAGCCCAGCAAGTCGAGGCTACGGTGGCTGTGAGCGTACCACTGCACTCCAGCCTGAGTGACAGAGTGAGACTCCGACTCAAAAAAAAAAAAAAAAGAGTCAATTGAAAACTAATATGATAAATTTATTTTTTAAATGTGCTGGAGCACTTTGGGAGACCAAGGTGGGAGGATCACTTGAGTCCAGGGGTTCAAGACTGGCCTGGGCAACATAGAAAGACACCGTCTCCACAATAATTTAAAACTTAGCCAGGCATGGTGGCATGTACTTGTAGTCCTAGCTACTTGGAGGTTGAGGCAGGGATATCACTTGAGCCCAGGAGGTTGAGGCTGCAGTTAGCTATGATTGTACACTCCAGCCTAGGCAACAGAGCAAGAAATTAAACAAAATAATTTTTTTTAATGTACTTGAAAACTTCACATATAATAGGTGGCATGGTAAATATCAAAAGTAAGAAAAACTGCACTTTTTATACCTGGGACATGTAGCAAGACACTTCCAGGAGTTTCCAGTTGCTTTATTCAATTTTCTTACCAGAAAAATGGGAATTAAAAGTTTCTCATCCAGGACTGAGAATGTATGGTAGGTATAGTGATATTATTATGTCATTCAAGGGTAAATATGTAGAAACTATTTCAGTTTTAATAAATATAGACTCTATGCCCTGGAGGGATAAGCTCTATCTAATTATGCTTTTCACACAATTGTATATTTTTTCACACAAGTATATTCATAAAGTATTGTGATCCTAATAATTAGTATTCACTCATATCACCAAGGAATTATTTCTGTCTAGCAACCTGGGATCCTTAGTCATTTTATAATCCTTAAAGTATCCAAGCAGCTACCAGGACATAATTAGATTTATTCTTTTTTTGAGTTGGAGTCTCACTCTGTCGCCCAGGCTGGAGTGCAGTGGCACACTCATCATCACCACAGCCTTGACCTGCTGGGCTCAGGTGATCCTTCTGCCTCAGTCTTCCAAGTAGCTGGAATCACAGGTGCATGCCACCATACCTAGCTAATTTTTTTTATTTATTGTAGAGATGACGTCTCATGAAGTTGCCCAGGCTGGTCTCGAACCCCTGGATTCAGGCAATCCTCCCGCCTCTGCCTCTCAAAGTGCTGGGATTACAGGCATGAACCACTGAGCCCAGCTTAGATTTCTTCTTAAGTACATAGTAGAGTTTAGAGAGACTTGGTACCCCAGCCTCTAAGTAGCTAGGACTATAGGTGCATGCCACCATGCCTATCTTGACTATAAATAAAATTCCCCCCAAAAAAGGAAAAAAGAGAAAGCATCTTTCTAGGATTCACTTTTTTAAAAAAGCATTTTTTAAAAATCCTTATAAGATTGCATAAAGGATATTAATATACTAACATAATTACAAACTTTCAAGGATACAGTTTAAGCTTCTGCTGTGATCAAGCATTTTATTGAATAATCAGAAAAGGAGATATCTTTCACCCTTTGAAAGAGCAAAATGTACCCAAAGACCTCTTTAGCTTCTTTACAGAAACCAGCATTTATCTGTAAGTCATTCCTATTCAACACTTTTGCATGTAATTTAATTCACCAGTCTCATCTCTTTCTTTGTAGTAAGCACTTAGGAAAAAGTCATGTTTGAGGCCATTAATATTTCTTCCAAATACTGTCAATAGTTCCCTCTTCCCCATTATTCTAGTTCAAAAACGAAATATCTGGGAGTATAAAAACTATAATTTCCTAGTTAGATATTCAGAGACAATATATTGTTATATCTTATTGAAATTCCCATCTTTAGTAATTTCAAAAAAATGTGAAGATACAATAAGAACACCTGTTTCTTTCCCTCACAGCCTCCAAAGAATATCTAATAAGTTATTCTATAAATAAATCACTCTGCTATTGTACTGATGCGAGTTTGTACCAACCATGCAATTTCCCAGAGGCTGCCTCAGATTCTAGCAGAAATAAGACAGGAAGTGAACTCATTCTGAGCAGTGCAGGACACCAAAGCAGGAGGTAAGAGACAAGGAACGGACAATTCAAGTTCAAATTCAAAGTGATGCTTAAAAAAAACCTAAAAGGTTTTTTTGGGAGGTAGGTGAATGTTTGATGTAAGCAACTGCCAAAGACCACTGCTTCCATTAAGGGACCCTAATAGTATAAAAGAAGGCTCTCAATCTCAGCTCACAGAGATCAACATTCCTCCATCCAAGCTCTGCAATAATTACCATATTAACTTACAGCATGTTTGCACACAGAAACAGGTAAAATAATAAGGAATCAATAAAGTTTCATTTTAAATTCTCAAATTTTTAAAAATCTAAACGGTGGGAGGAAGGGCAATAAGAAGAGGACAGATGGCTGCCTAAATGTATCCCCAGAAAACATTGCCTCATCAATTCCTCCTTGACCTGAAAATCAGGGGTCTTCCCAGTTACCAAATACCAAGAGTCATGGCCAAAGAAGCCAGTGTGTGGTCTCAGCAGAGATACTCCTCAGAAACACAGTATCTGACATACTGTGGGAGTTCACATTATATGGCAACTGACAGAGTCCAGGGAGGCATAGCTGCCAAGAGACAGGTCCACTAAGAAGCCACGAAGCAGAACTGGCTTTATGTGAAAGCACTTTGCCAGGCCTCACACTGACCCAACTCCGCAGCAGTCTAGTCTCTCAGGGGGACTATGAAGGAACGTGGAGAAAGTATTCACTCAAGACCTATCTCTCCCATACCTAGCGCTGAATTCGCTGGCAAAGATCTCAATGGAGAGCTGAGCTCGGGATTTCATCACTACTAAGCTTGCTTTTCAATCTCCTCACTCTGAGATACAAGGGCTTAATAAAGTAATCTTTTCATCTTAACTCAAGGGAGACAATCCTACGAAGGGTTCAGCGTGCCCGAGAATCGACCTGCTTCACTGTGGGTCTAAGGATTTGAGGCTACCTGGGTGATGTCACAGAATAAACAGAGGCATCTCTGCAGAGCTGGTCCAACGTCTGAGATCATTCCTGCAGTGCAAAAGATTAACAGGCACGGGGCTGCGGCGCTCAGATAACCTACCTGCCACTCTGGTCTGAGGTCCATGTAACTGATCGCCCCTCGGGTTTGGTTTTGTACCATATCCTGAGAGCATGAGGAAAGTCAGTAGCTGTCTGAACCCCTGTCTTCCTGATCTGTAAGCTCCAAGTGTCAGTGTCAAAGAAGAGCTCCCCACAGCCAGGAGCCTGGCTGCAGCGAGCGTAATAGTCTAACTGCTCCCTCCAACGATCTGCAGGCAGAGTCACAAGTTCATGTACAATCTGATTCCTGAGCTCCTCAGAAACAACTGTGAGCTCGGGAGACCTTGTAAATTTTTCAATACCTGGCACAGCAGCAACATCCACCTCCTCAACTTTTAACACAGATAAATCACAGCAGTCCAGCACTAGCAAAAATTCCCCACTCCCGTGATTCCCTGTGTCACAGCAGTACTTTGAGGTAGAGATCCCAGAAGCCTGTTCTCGGTTGTCATGGTTACCATCTTTAGCAGAAGTATCTTTTTCACCTTTACTACAGATTGCAAAATCATTATATTCCATTTTAGAGGAGAAGGTCCCTGCATTTGTCACAGAAATACAGCAGGTTTCAGGCATCCCAGATTTGCAGGCTTCATTTGACTCTGATTGGCAGGCTTCCTCAGTGAAGCTATTCTGTTTCTTGAATCTGTTTCCATCCTCAAAGAAAAGCACGATGGTCCCGTCAATGACTTGACTTTCAAAATCCACATCTAAATCCAGTGCATAGTGTTTCACAAGGATGTGGTTGGTGTTGGCCATGAGAGGCAGGTCATCTCTGGAAGGGTCCAGCTGTATGTCCATGATTTGGTTTATTATTTGCAAGCTTTGGTAAAATCTCAGAGAGGTATTCCCATCTGCCTTAATCTTCCAGAATCATAAATAGCTGCTTACCAAAAAAACAACTGATGTCGCAAACTAGGTTCCACAACTTTCAGTACCCTGGCAAAGAAGAAAAACACAATTAGACAAAATTCCAAATAAGACCCTAAATGCTCATGCAACCGCTGTTCCTGCAAGTTGACTACCATCCTTAAATAATCCCCAATGTGGTAGATGTTCTCGGTTAGAAGGCAGACTAATCTTTTTGACTGACATGAAAGAAAGCTGCATTGTGGGTTTCTAAAAATATTGCAGTTACCAGTGGAATGAAATGGACTTCCCCAAAGCCAGAAGAATCATGCTCCTAACTGAAGCAATTCTTGTTTTGGAAAAGAGCAATTGTTAAGCAAAAATGTAGCTGAGCATCCTAGTGAATCTTGTTTTAAAAGATATTAAATGTATCATTTCTAATTTTGTGCACCAAATGATAAATGATTGTTTCTCCACTGTGATTCTAAGTAACAAGTGTGAATGAAGGCTAAATGGCCTCATACATTTTATTCTTTGAGAGTAATAATTTAATGCATACAATGAAACTCCAGGGATTAATGTACTTTTCACATTAGGACTGCTCTCGTATCAGCACTTCCAGTAAATTACGGGAAAATGAGCCAATTTACCAGGAGTGTATTCTAAGTATTCCTTTGAGATTGTTCAAGGAGATTTTTCAAATTTATAGTTAAATACTCAAGGTATATCATTACATCTTAATAGCTGAAAACCCATTAACATTCTGGATAATAGCCTTCTTGTGGCAAACAAAAGGTCTTCTCATTTAAAAAAAAAAAAAGCATGCAAATACCTATAAAAGGGAGGAGAGAAATTAAAATGTAGAAACAGATGTTACAATAAAATGCACAAGTTCTTCATAAAAGTTCTGAATCAAAATGTGTTCTTATTGTATAATAGAAATCCAACTAAAAGGAAAATTATTTGAAATTATTTCAGTCCCTGTTGTGTACCTAATTTCTTTTAGCATATGCTGTTCTTTTTTATTCTTTTACCAACACTGAAAAAGAAACAGGAAAGGAAAAGAAAAACTCTGACAGAGTAGATACATTTAAAATAATTTTTGTATTTCTAAATACCAGGAGATATTCTTTTATCCACTAAAAAACATCAAAACTTGGCTTGACCTTTCAAGTAAATTGAGCCCTCCCTTTTTATTCTAACTCACGTCCCTTCCAACTTTACCTGCCTCACTACTAGACCCTTTTATGTCCTGTCCTTCTAGAATCCCATTCCAGCAATACACCCTATTGGATTTTCTGTTTCTACCTCTCTACTATTTTCCTCATTGAAATTTCACCTATCCTTAAAAAAATCTGTCCTCCTGCAGCCTTGTACAATCCAGCTTTTAGCTATTTTCCAGTCATGGAGACCACACTCCCTTGTATCCTTGTCCCCTAGCCAAAGGACCTGCTGAAGACACTGCTCCCTGAAGATGACCTGGCTCCAGGCCTCCCTGCCTTTTAGACTAAGCCGTGGGCAGTGCCTGGAGTGCTCCTGGCTCCCACCTCCCATTGCCACCTGCCAAATCTTCTTCTTCCTCTGTGCCCCAGGTCAAGGGCAACCACCTCCTGAAATCCTTCCCTGGTCAATGCTCCCTCCCTCACCAAAATGTATGTAGTACGCTTGAAGTACAATAGGAGTAGAAATAAACCAAAGATGCAAACAGCAGCTTGAATTTACTTTATGGAGAAGCCGGTACTTCCCTTGATCCTAGAAAAGTCAGTGGGCACAGGGGGATAAGCCAGGGTATTTTCTTTCTGCCCTGTCATTTAATAAATAATAACCTTCAACAAAGTCATTGGCTATATCTATGTAGAGAACCAGTGATGTTAAAACTCCACTGTCTGGGACTGCTAATATGCAGTATTTTGTTGGTCAACCATTCAAAAAAATGTTTAATTACAAAAGCCCTGAACACACACACACACACACAGACACACAGAAGCAAAACTTGAATTGACTAAGACAAGGGTCAATTTAATGGCGGTCTGAACAATCATATTTGAAGAAAAACAGTTTGGCATTTATAACAATATAGATATAATCATCCACTGTCCAACTCTAATAGATTCCTTCATTGACATCTGAAAATATGTAAAATTTAATAAAATAACATCTACAGAACGGTTTTCACCACTTTTGTGCCTTATTGCGGAGGATAAGGCTGCTTTAGAGCTCTAGCCATTCAAGTCTGTCATCAAAACCATTGTTATCAAAAGCAATGTTTTCCAGTGGCTATGCAGTGCTTCCTCCACAGTGTGCTATGTGGAGTGTATTTTAAATGCTTAAATGTTTGTCACCCTAACTGTTGGTTCTCTTGAGTGGATTCTTTTTTTTTTTTTTTTGAGTTGGAGTCTCACTC